TATATATATATATATATATATATATATATATACTAGTGCGTCAAGAACTAAGTTAACTAGTGCCGACTCACATTGTTGTTCAAATCTTCAGGCCATGTTAGCCTCATCTGAGGCACAACAACAGCAAAGTCAAACTGAGGGCGGTGATGAGACGTTAAGTACCAAAGCCATGGAAGAGATACACGATCATTACAGAAGCCGGTATGTTCTTGCCTAACGTCGCTTGGCACCCCGTTGCAGATCCTCCATCAATGTGTGGCTCATGACACAAAAGTAGTGACGTACAGATGAACACAGTTTTATTGCATGCGGGCACTGTGCAGTCGTTACGATGTTCTTAAAGAACACATGTTTGTTTATTTTTTTGTTTGAAACAGAATTGTGACGTTAGAGAGCGAGCTAGAACATGCAGAGAATGCAAATATCACGGAGAGAAGCCGTAGCGATCAATTAGCCTTGGAGTGCGATGATCTGAGTGAAGAGGTAAGCATATGGTAAAACATACAAAACTGTTGAAATTCAAAAGCAACAAACATACAAAAGCCACTGCTGTGGACAAGCTCGCAGATTATGGATACAAGAGGAATGCCTCAAGACGAAAAGAAGGTGGAATATGAGTTTGTTATTGTGTTCCAGAGAGAAATCTACTTTAACAGAAAACTATTTGCGGCGACTACCACAAAAGGACGCATTTGATATAACACGTTTTTTTGTCCGGTTAATTTTTCTCAGTGAACAGTTGGGGCTATATATTATTGTTGTATGATAGTGATGCTGGCTGATTATTATTGCGGGTTGAAAGATGCAAACGCATTCTCTGATGTCACCTAGTCTCTTTTTTATAATAGGTGGGCAAGTTTACAATGAAGCTGAATACCCTGACCAACCGTATCACTGAGAAGAACGAAGAGATCCACACCATAGAAAAGCTGTACGAGGAAAGTGAATCGACGAACCAGGTACGAGGAACACTAGATACTTTGCTTCAAAATCACGTTATTTCCTCTCGTACAGACATGTTTCCAATGTGCCATTAACTTCCAATCTTGAGACAATTCTTTTTAACTGTATCTGCGAAATTTATCGAAACCGTTCAGGCTCTCAAATTGGACAACGAGAAACTCGCGTCCGAAATGGTTATCTTGCGTGTACATCTTGAAGACGCTCGAGAACAGGTCGAACTTGCAAAAACACAGATTAAGGCACAACCTGTGCTAAAACAACCAGAACCATCAGAAGTCTCGCAAGCAGCCAACTCTACCGAAGACAGTGGTATGTTAGCAGGTAGCAACACCACCGATGATAAGAATACTATTGAAAGCGCGGAGTCACAGACACAGGCGAAGGGGGTATCTCAGATCCATGTGATTGATGAGTGTAACGAGGCGGTGAGAATAGCCAGTGTCACAGCTGTCGCACAGTTGTTGGCGATGGAGGAGGAGTATAAGGGCAAACTGCTTGCCATGGAATCTAGATTTGAGAAGGAGAAGGACGCGCTCAGACGACGCGAGGTCGATCTTAAGCAGGCCGTCTCCACCTCGCAAAGGGAAACCGAGAAACACCAGGAGTACATTCTAAAACTCAAAAAAGAAATTCTGGATAGGGTATGTTGTGCCGTATTTGCGATATTCGTGGTATAAAACATAAGTGTTGTAACTATAATGTTTTTCCATTTCAAACAATATTCGTATCCTTCACGGTCGTGTGCATATACACAAACGCGCTAACTATCAAGCAAACCTGTCTCGCGCGCAATTCAAGTAGATATTTTTTTTTGCTTAAAGATGAACTAGATTTGTTCGGTATGTAGCAAAATATATATTGTTCAAACAACTTTTGAGACCACGTCCTGAACTATCGTCCAACACAGACGAGACTACTTGAAGAACACTACCGCAACAAGCTAGACTCCGACCGCCGGCTAAAGCAAGCCAACAAGTCCATGCAGATCCTCCTGAAATCCCGCGATAAAGGCTCAATGATGAAACTGCAATTGCAATCACTCTACACTGCATTCACTAAACACGAGCGGGCGGCAACAATTATATTCAAGAATCTCTCTGCGACTAGTGTGGAGCAGAAAAAGGGCCTCATTCAGGTGTGTGAAGCTTATCGTGGTCGGAATTAAAATAACTGACCAGAAGTCGAACATGCATATTTGCATCGCAGAGACACTTCACCTATGCATCATTTCGTACATCTTCTGAAAGATAGTAACTGGTAGTAGTGCATAAACTAACTCCTTCCATCACACATATACAACACACATAACTACCACCTACAGTCTGGACTGATTAAGCGGCACGTCAAGGGTATCGCTATTCCGACATACGCAGTTCTCATCCAGAATTGGCTGTTCCTCTACCGTCCAGAGAAGGTACGAGCCGTTGCTGGTATATATACCAAAAAAATGTACGTAAATATGATGTGTACGGATATAGCATGGGCATGGGTATATATACCCAAAATGACAGACATACGAAAGGAGGAGCACATTGTTAAAACCCATATGACTTGTCAGCCACTACTTTGGTTTGATGATGTGACACTTTACCTTGGATTAGACGAAGTGTCTATCAACACACAGATAGCTACATCTGCACGAATTAATTTCGCTGGCATCTACTGACTGCTTTCGAAAACCAGCTCAGGAAACCAGTCCAATATATCTCGAGCCTAATTAAACAATACTCTTAGTGCGAGACTGGATGTTTAGAAATTAAACTTTTGAGCAATGTACGAATGTGTGGTACTTGTGGTTTACCTTCCCAAACTAAGACGCTTTATGCTTCAATTATCAACTGGCATTCACTTACAGAAAGAGAATCCAAGCACGTGTTTGCACATTGACACGTGGCACGTGTCGCGCATGACGGTTCCAGGCCAACACATCTTGACTCTGCAGGAGAGTGATTGCACAGGTGAGTTCAGAATATCAACAGTACGTTACCAAGAGGGTCGTATATTTACTTTCTGATTTCTGCAACTAAGAACCGCTTAAAATGCCCGCCACATGTCATTTCACCAGGTCAAAACCTGCACTTTAGGAGCCACTCATAATTTGTTCAACCAGACATGTACTCATGATCAGAACATACAACCTACACTACATGTAGCTGTTGTACAGACTTTGGAATTGGTGAACCAGAAAACACAAGAAGACTGGTATGTAGGCATCCTGAGGGCGTCCAAGTGGTGGGCAACCGATGATGATAATGTGGCTGCCATTTTGGAGAAGGAGAAGAAAAAGACGGCACAATCTATGCAGAAAATGAAGGTATATGTGATTAAGCAGCTTCCGTAAATATGATTCGTATTTGGTCATTTTAACTCTATTTGAAATCGTTGGCGCTGTCTCTGTCATAGGTATGATCTTTAAAATTAGACGTAGTTTTGCATTTGGACTAGATACAGTATCAATGCATTAGCGCTTTTTATACCAATGCAAATTCTGGTCGATCTAAACATCACTGAATATTTATATATCGACAGGTTATATCGCTCGCTGAAGCTCAGCAAACCTCGCGGCATGTACAGTCCATTGCCGCCAGTGCTGGAGCGAAATAATAGAATTAATATAATTTGTTTAATAGCTTTTGTTACTCCATTTCAAATTGCGGGGTTGCATGTTTACATTGTACTTTGATTGAATCCTGGCGGTTTTATTGTTTTTCGCTATCGAGATTTAAACCAATCCAGTAGGATATTTTTAACTCTTGTCGTCAAGATCAGAATATTCACACCTGTGATGCTTGGAGGTTCCCACGTTCTATGTCTGCGTCAGGATTTTACGCCGCTGAGAGGCACAGTTTTTGCCGCTACTCTATTATTGCAATGTCACGACACTTTTCTCGAGGTAGATAGAACTTTGTGTGTTTTCCTCAGTCAACGATACAGGGTCAGGAGCACTCCTACTCAAAATCTGGATAATATTAAATATATATAGCCCTAGCCCGGGAACTGATAGTATTTTGCGATGGTCGTATAGTGAGAGTCTCGCTCATCATATACATGATATTTACGCGTCACGTGAAGAGCTTAAATAGAACAATGCTCACAAACGAAGATGCAATTGCATTTATCTATTTAAAGCACAAAAATGTAAACAGATTTGCGTAGCCTGAATGAAAACACATAGTTGAATACTGACTGTATAGACATATTTGGCACGATACAAAACACATAGAAGCTGGTGTGAAAACAGGTGTGGTGACATACAAGAGCATGGATATATCATGTTCGTGTGTTCGTGTAAAAGTATAAATACACGCATATACTCGAGCGAGAATACAACTCAGATGCATCCTGATATATCGAGATATATCAACACACACATGAACACACACACACGCGCACACATACATACATATATAGATACAACACACACTCATATATATACATACATGCACACATAAATCATGTTTATATATATATATATATATATGCAAATAATACTTACATACATATAAATAGTACACTGTACACAGACACACACACGCGCGCACACAGACATATATATATACGAACACATAAACACACACGTGTACACACAGACACAGACTCACAGACACAGACACAGACATATATATATATATACGTACACAAACACACACACA